ATTGAAGGGGTTCTTTAAAAACATCTGGAACTCTGCATGTCAGGGTTCCACTCAGTTCCCTGGCTTGGTGTCCCAGTCTTGAGTTTCCCCCGTACAGTTCTCACAAATATATACCTTCTGCCTTTTGCATGAGTGGGAAAGGGTATCAGGCTCACTGCTTGGAGTTGTGGGGGGGCTGGAAATCCAACTTCTCGCCCAACTTTCAGCTCATCTTGCTCTCTTCAGGCCTCCACTTTCTTCGATGCCTGGTGTCTGCAATTGCTACGCCTTGCTTCATGATGAGCTCCTCTGGAGGCACTTAGGTTTGAGTTACTCCACTCTGCAAAACCACTTCCATCCTTCCATCCACTGGCCACGTTCCGAGTTAGAGAGGTCTCCTGAATCCATGGCATATGAGCTTGCATTTTCATTTTGTGTTCATATCGTTATTTGGGATTAACCTGTGGAAGAAGAATACAACAATATGACTTTTCCATCATCTTGAAACCAGAGGTTCCCCGCCCCCTCTTTTTGGGAGAAGACGGGGCATCTACCACTGAATAAGAAGTGGAAGAAAGAGATGAGTCTTAAGATGAAGGCATCTGGGTGGCGTGACTTTTGTAGTTTTCTTGCCATGTTCATAAAGCTGCAGCTAGTATTCCGTTGTGAAAGTACCACAGCTTTTTTTATTCACTCATTATTGCTAGGGGTGATGGGTGCACGATGCAGTGTGCAGACGATCATTTATTGAGTTATACACTTGAAACCTGTTCCCCTATAAGTTCAATTTAAAAAAAGAGAGAAAAGAATAAGTAAATTATATAGCTCTTTAAAAAAAAGAGAAAAAGCCCTGGTTGGGTGGCTCAGTTGGTTGGAGCATCGTCCCTTACACCAAAAGGTTTCAGGTTCAATTCCCTGCCAGGGCTCATACATAGGTTGTGGGTTTGATCCTGGATCAGGGTTGGGCATGTACGGGAGGCAACTGATTGATGTTTCTCTTTTTCTCTCTCCCTTCCTGTCCCTCTCAAATGAATAAAAACGTATCCTCAGGTGAGAATAAAAAACAAAAAAGAAAAGAAAAACAAGCTGCAGCTAGCGCAGTGTTCTGACCCTGAACCAGGCCCTGTGCTAGGTACCTGTGTTATCTGTAATCAGTGTGATAATCCTGTACGGCAAATGTTATTGTTCATGTTTTATCCATGAGGAATCGAAAGCTCAGCGAGTTTCAGAAATGAGCCCAAGGCCACATCCCGAGCTCTTCCAGTGGCAGAGCCAGAACTGCAAACCTGGTTTGCTTGACCCTAAAGCCATTGCTTCACCCATTGCACATAGCTTGGCACCAGGAACTCACAAAAGTGCGGTTCTCTCATTTAAAAAAAAATCTGATCTATCTGGTGCATGTCTAGGCAGTTCTGGAAAGGAAACCCTAAGTAAATCATAGGAAAATTTACTGTTGCCTTGGAGCATGTGTTGACATATTTCTTGCCTACTAATTCACTTGACCTTTCGAAGTCCCTTGTAGTCCTCTAATTCTTAGGCAGTTATTTTTTCAAATTCTTTTCTAGACTCTGATAACTAACAGCAGACAGTCGGATGACCGTACCTCTATTATCTTCATTGCCTTGATTTAGTTTTCCCTCCCCAAAGCTCTCACACACATTGGTTGATGGGATATATTTCAGGCTGCACTGTTTTTATTTATGATTTTTTTAATGTGTGTTACTTACTCGGAGGCACCCAGGGGAAACCTCCACAGACTTTCCTGATTACCAGATGTCGCCCTTTCTGTGTAACAACTGTCTAATCACCACGGCCTCTTGCCAAGAAACAAGAAAAGCATTTGCATTTGGAAAACCAAGCTGCGCCACGTGAAGCGTATTAAGAAGGACGGCCTCCCCTGAATCCACATGAGCTTTCCCCCCGTCTGAGTTTGTTTTGCTTAAAGATAAAAACCACACAGCCGTGTTTGCAGTTAGGACTAACAAGTGCTTGCGTAACCAGGAGATTTCACGTGGGCTGTCTCAACTTCATTATGCGCAAATTATGTTCTAAGTAATCTTTGAACCAGTAGAACATGTGTAGCCAGTGTTTGTTTTTGGAATATTCCAATTGTTTATTTTAAATGGTGATTTATGATGGATGTGTGTTTAACATGCAAAATAATGCTACATCCCCAGGAATTCCGGGGGAGACAGGAGGTTGTGGAGGCGTCTCAAACCTCCTTTTCTTGAGCAGGGACATGGCATTAGTTATGCAATTAAGAAAAAGCAGCGGAGGGGAAGGTAAATGGTAGCTGAGCAGGTATTTAAATGAAGCGTGCCCATCCTGAAGCTCAGATCTGCACCTGCCAGAGCTCCGTAGCCTTTTGAAAACATATCAAATCACTGCTTTCTCACTTAATTTTGTAACAAGGCCAAGGATAGGTTACTTTGGACTCCACTGTGTGGACAATCCCAAGTCCTTGAAATGCTCAACGAGGTCAGAGTGCCCAAGTTTAATGTCTCAGATGTGGAAAGAGAGATTGTAAGGATTGCATTCATTTGCATGAATTTTAAAATGCCATCGAACACCTCTGAGGCTGTAACTTGGATGCACCATTTAAGTAGAAAGAGCCACACAGAGCCATATGTTTAAATGTGGTGCTATCCTTGAGACATGACTATCAAAAACACATGTTTCCCCCTCCATTCAACTCTCTCATGAATCACTTAGTTTCAGACCATGGAGTGCACCGCTTTTCCTCTTATAGATTTCTGTTGGACAGCCTCATGTAACACAGTAACTAATAACCATAAAATTGTAATGAATGCTCAATTAAGCCAATTTTCTTCTTGGTTGTTAGGAACTTGGTCTTTCTTAAACCATGGAAAACTAGGCAGAGTTTAAGTTTCATGGAATATAAAAGTAGATCCTCTACCTCTGTTAGAAATAGTAATTATCATAAATTTATACCCCATGGGATTCTTTTATCATGTAAAATTATAATTCAGCCGGAGATGGTGGGAAATTATATCTAATGGGAAAACTCTGGACACTGTCACCTGCCATTTATATCAGTACATTTTATTTATATATGAAGAAATATGTGCATATACATTAAAATATATACATAAAATATATGTACACTCCCTTTTGACATAAGTATGTTGAAGAAAGATTCAAAATAGCCTATATTGAGTGGACACATACAGGTAGGCAAATGTGTCATTTGCAGCACAGGGGACTCTTAGCTAGTTCACTCAAGTCAGTTTTGAGAGCATCCCAGATGCCACTGTGTTTTATAATGAAAGTCCAGTGTTACGCCTTTGAAGTAAGATTATCTCTCGCAGCTGGGCTGCACATGAGACGTATTGCAGAGAGAAAGGAGGCGGTGTAGCAGCACCCGATGGGGCCTCAGAAACTTCTCCTGCCAGATGCAATGTTTACAAGCTGTATACATTTTTCATAAATTTTATGTAAAATTTGTAAGTGATGGATTGAATATAATTTTTCTAAATTTTAGAAGTCTTAGGAAGGGATTGCTGGAGTTTCTCTTTCACCTGGCAGATGGAAATCCACCTAGCAGACCAGTCCACAAGAGTGGATTTGACCAATAGTATAGAGTATGCTATTTGCAAAAGTAGAAAACAATGCTGTTAAATTATTTTTTACTACAATGTGATGGGAAAAAGACATCTAAGTGTATCAAATTATTCTTCAACAGCAGGCCTTATCTAACGTGGTTGAAGGGCACTTGCTTTAGTTCCCACCTTTGATTATCCTATATAATAAAAGACTAATATGCTAAGTGTCCGGGCATCCGGTTGTCTGGTTGTCCGTTCAACCAATCAAAGCATAATATGCTATTGATATGCTAAGGCCACTCAACCGCTCGCTATGATGTGCACTGACCACCAGGGGACAGACACTTCGACTGGTAGGTTAGCTTGCTGCTGGGGTCCAGCTGATCTGGACAAAGTGAGACAGGCCAGACATGCCTTGGAGCCCTCCTGCATTCCCTCCCCAGCTGGCCAACCTCTTATATCCCTCCCTGGCCCTGATTGTGCACTGGTGGGGTCCCTCGGCCTGGCCTGTGCCCTCTCACAATTCGGGACCCCTCGGGGAATGTCAGAGAGCTGGTTTCAGCCTGATCCTGCAGGCCAAGCCAAGGGACCCCACTGGTGCACAAATTCGTGCATCAGGCCTCTAGTTTCTAATAAAAATAATTATCTTGTGTTGGTCCCCTGTTCAAAATTTCAACTCTCCTCCTAAGTCTGCCAGTTGGATTGACTCTCCAGAACTCTCACATAGTTGATGGATGCTGTTTTGTCTGGAGGGTGCAGCTGCTATCTGCAGAGGGGTAGGCCTGTTAGGAGCCCCCACTCCTACCAGAGGTGGAATCTTCTCAGTGGAGATTCCCATTTGGAATGGATGTCACCATTTCTCTACCACAGGCAGACATGTAAAACTTGGATGTGGGTTAGTAATTGCCTGTTTGCTTTTTTCATCCTTAGCTAATTTAGGTCCCTTTCAGTACCTTCCATGGTACTCCAGTGGGAGTTAGAATGCTTGGGTTCCAGTCCCCGTCTTATACTATAACTAGAATCATTATGTTGTAATTATCCAGTGGTGATTATACTTAGCTAATTGTTATTATAACTGGCAAGTCCTGTGAATCCTTGGTGTGTAGGATGAGGGGCCAGGTCAGCCTTGAAAGTTCTTTTCATACCTATTCCTGCAGACCTGGAATTATCTAATTTAAGTATCTTGAAATCTCTGAGTGAATTCACTTCATGGGATTCAAAGGAATAATTCCATGTATTATGTGATGAGAAGGACATTCTGCTATTAGAAGATGTGGTCATGTGATATTGACAATATTTTTCCTTTTTATCTCAGATTTCCTTTAAAATAACTCACCCTGTGTTGCCTCAGTGTTTCCTGGGCACAAGGTATTTGATTCAAGACCAGTAACTGGAAAGAATGATATTTTTATCTAACATGTCTCATTTAAAATGTGTTTTTGTTTGTTTGCCTCTTAGGAAAAAGTGCTGCAAAGGGTATAAATTTGTTCTCGGACAATGCATCCCAGAAGGTATGTCATAGGGAAGATTCTGCCTTCTCACCTTATTCATAACTAATCACCAGATGTCTGTAACGTTCAGATGTGCCTGGAATGTATGTGTGTTATCTGTGTCTGGTTATCTGTGCATGTGTGTGTGTAATTTCTATGTGCGGGCATTATATCCTTCCAATGCTGATTTGGTTATATGTAGCATGCTCTGTCTAAATCATTACACAACATGTAATCATACATTGAGTAATTCTCTAATCAGCATATCACACACAGTTAGAACACAGCCTCCCTCCCCTACCTCTCTATCTGCTTTCTATGTGTTAAACTTGAAACCCCTTCACATGACCATCAGCAAGCCCTGTGTGCAGCCCAGCCCTGAAGAGACAGAGGCCCGGCCCTCAACGCCCGCACCCTCCAGCTGAGTAGACAGGGTCTGGACAGCGCAGAATCAGAGACCTGGATTTCCTCATGGTTCCACGTCGCCTTAGTCCATTCCGACTGCTATAACAAGAATACCATATATGGCAGCTTAAATAACCAGCATTTATGTCTCACAGTTCTAAAGGCTGGCAAGTCCAAGATCCAGGTGCTGCAAGATTCAGTATTTGGAGAGAGCTTCCTGGTTAATACATAGCCATCTTCTTTCTGTGTCTTCACATGGCAGAAAGGGCAAGGTAGCTCGAGGGGGTCTCTTTTACAAGGTCATTAATCCCATTCATCAGGGCTCATGGCCGAATCACCTCCCAAAGCCCCACCCAGTACCATCACATTGAGGGTTAGGATTTCCAACTATGGATTTCAGGAGGATGCAGGCATTCAGTCCACAGCACACTTCAAAGATACTTTCTAAATTTAGTTTTTGCAAGAAAGTCTTAGTACTTGACTCATATGGTTGTTTAAGACTATTACCGCATCTAAAGTACTTAGATCAGAAGCTTGGTTAGTGGCGGTTACTGTTATGGTTGCTGTTGTTATTAATAATAACTGAAATATGTGCGCTAGAAGCCTGTAGTGCAGCAAGTGTTCGGGGGCATGGGGGGGAGGGGCACGTAGCACAGAGGACCAGCGTGGTCAGAGGTGGTGTCTAAGAGGAGGGAGACTCAAGCTAGGTTATCTGGGAAGGCTGCCAAGCACCTAGACAAGTAGGAGGAAGAAGACCGCAAAGGATTAAGCACTGACACAGGGAAGGCTAAGAACCATTTGAAGAGCGTGAGATTAGTTGGCCCAAAGCTTGGGACAGACAGGTGAGTGAGTGATGTGAAATGGGTTTCTTCACTGTTGCCCCAGAAGGCAGGTCCCTGAGCCCAGCCAAGCTACTGCATGTTGTGTTATCTCATGGAGAGCAATTGTTTTATTTGTTAGAAATAAATGAATCCCTCCTGTTGACTGCTCTCTTCGGTGGAAGGATGGCAGAGTTCATTAATCCATAGCTGGGACCTCTGAGGAAGTTGGGTTGAGGAAGGTTCTTAGGAAATCTCATCACCTACGATGGTTTATATGGCCTCAGGTCTCTGCAAGACTGACTTTCTCACACCAGCCAATTCCATTCTGAGAGCTTGGTGGAAAAAACCCACAAAAATTAAAGTAATTGCCTTCTTTTATAAGCCAGCTTTTCTCAGTTACCAGCTGTGTCTTTTATATTTCAGTGTGGCAGCTACTGAAAGAAAATTAAGTTTAGGCCAATCATTTTAAGATCCCAGCTAAAGACCTTACCCCAACTAATTAAAAACACATTATACAGATACCACATACTTACAGTTCCTTTAAATGTTAGGTATTGTGGTTTCAAACATCTGGGACAAAACTAATATCCCTCACCCCAAGGTGGGGCCACAGCACCTATGATTAATGTAACCTAGAACTGAGTATTTCCAGGAAAAGTGGTCTCAGGAGCTGAAAGCTGCTCTGTTGTAACTAATTCTCTGCTCTCTTGCTTTTGCTAGAACATTTTCAAAAGTTAATTTGTTTTAATTTGTGAGAATAAGTCAGTATTGACTTGTTTATCTTTTACTAAAAATACTTTTAGTCATAAAGGTTTCTATTGCCCAAAAATGCCAAGTATAAATGTAGGATCTCAGAAAAGATGGTATATTAGTTAGGATTCTCGAGAGATTTTAATTTTTAAAGAATTGGCTGACAAGATGTGGAGGCTGGCAACTCCAAAGTCTGCAGAGTAGGCCAGCAGAGTGGGGACCCAGGAGAGAGTCAGAGTTTGAATCCAGAAACCATCTGCTGACAGAATTCCCTCTTTAGCAGGGGAGGTCCATCTTTTCTCTATTAAGGCCTTTAAGTGATTGGATGAGGCTCGCCATCATCGTGGAGAGCAATCTGTTTTACTCAAATCTACTGATTTAAATGTTAATCTCATCTGAAAAATATCTCCACAGAAACACCTAGAATGTTTAACCAAATACCTGGGTAGTGTGGCCTGGCCAAGTTGACACATAATTTAACTATCATAGATAGTAAACAGAGACTAGAATTTCTTATCTTTTTTTTTTAGGCTAAATAAAGAATAGAAGCTGTAATTAAAACAGTGTTATTGCCTCATAGTTGTTGTTCTGGAAGTCAAGAGTCAGCAAGCTATGCTTGTGGGTCACATCTGACCCACTGCCTGTTTTTGTAAATAAAGCTTTATTGGGACACAGTCATACCCATTAATTTAAGTGCTGAATGCTTTTGCCCTACAGCAGCAGAGTTTAATAGTTGTAACAAAGGCCTGCAAAGCTAAAAATATTATCTGGCCAACCAGATATATTTTGCCCCCCGTGCTGTATTATCTTAATTGGCCAGGTGACAGGATGATCTGACTTGTTCTAGTTCAACAATTATTAATTGAGTATAAACTATAGGAGGAGAGTGGTGCTGTACTCCAGAGCAGTGATCACCAACCTTTCAGATCTCACGGACCACCAGTGGTCCTCGGACCACCGGTTAGCAGCCGCTGCGCCAGAGAACTCAGTCCCTGCCAGGTACCCAAACAAGTGTAAGAACTAGGAATTTAAAAAGCAGAAGAGCAGGTGAAGCTCTCACTGTGTGTCAGGCATTGTGCTTAATGCATCATCCTACGTAATCTCATAAAAGCACCATGAAGTCGGTACTGTTGTTACCCTATTTTATAGGTAAGGAAACGGAGGCTTAAAGAAGCCAAGATCACAGAGATTGTGGCAGAGTTGGGAAGGTTGGCTCCAGAACCTGCATGCTTCACCTCAGTGTGACACCGTCCTACATTAGGCCTGCACAGAGTAGGCATTTGATAACCATGTGGAAGCCCATGAGCATGAGCATCAGAACACTGATGCCTGGAGGTGATGCTTAGTTAAGGAAAGTGTGTTTGACCAGGGACACACATAGGCAGAGCAGCCTGGAATCTCCATCTTAGGGAGAAGCACTTATCCAGGGCAGCTTTCCAGGTCATCATGAAAATGGCATGAGCCTTGTCACACACACACACACACACACACATACACACACACACACACGCACACACACACACACACCGTAGCAGCCCAACATTCCACCTTCATATGTCCCAGAGCGAAGCCAGGCTCAAGCCCTGTCCAAGGGTAGCTCGTCTGTCAGCACCTGGGGAAGATAGTGCAGTGATTAATGAGAGGCTGGATCTAGTCGGCAAGTAAATGTTCAGTCTGAGCACCTGACATAGAGCCAAGTCCCTTCAGAGGCTCGTTAACTACCAGTTTGTAAGGATGGAGAGAAGGAGATGCTCTAGGTCACTGGTTCTCAACCTTGGCTGCACATTAGAATCACCTGGGAATCTTTTTAAAATCCTGATTTCTGGGCCTCATCCTCTGGAAATTCTGTTTCTTTGTTACTAATGTTGTAGCCCCAACCCATAACAAAGAAACAGAATTTCCGGAAGATGAGGCCCAGAAATCAGGATTTTAGAAAGATTCCCAGGTGAGTCTAATGTGCAGCCAAGGTTGAGAAACACTGCTCTAATTATTCACAAGTAATAGACCACCCACCCAATTCACACAGGCTAAGGGCCAGAATGAGATCTCTAGCTATTCAACCTTATTCAGCCCCTTCTCAGCATGCAGAATCAACCCCTGGCATGCAGACCTACAACCCCCACACACTCTAACTCACACACATCTCCATTCCAAAGCCTCCCTCACACTCCTAGAAGCCAGCCTGACTTCTGGTCCTGCTCCCCACAGTACAGGGACAACGCCCATCACCAGGCCGGCTGTTCTTGAGTGTTCCACCAGAAAGAACTTCCTGTCTCTACAGCAGTTGGTTAAAAACAACAAAACAGGCCCTGGTGATGCTGCAGAGCAGAGCCTGGCCAACTAGAGCTTCCTTGCTCTTGGGATGAGGGACAAAGACCTAAGGATGAGGCGGTGACCACCCCCCACCAGGGGGAAATCACAAGTGATGTTTGCTTCTAACCACTGCGGAGCTGGACACCACGTTTCTCAGAGGCCCCCATGGCTGGAAGAGTGCATGACCCTCCAAACATAGGTGGTCACATGTCACAGTTGCCCTAGAGCAGAGCGCAGCCCAAAAAGTCTGTTCCAGACCAGAGCCAGGTGACCCCGCTCCGCCTCGAGAGTGACTGCAGTTGACATAGGCTCACACTTTCCTCTTTCAGATTATGATGTGTGTGCCGAGGCCCCCTGTGAGCAGCAGTGCACAGATAACTTCGGCCGCGTGCTGTGTACTTGTTACCCGGGATACCGCTATGACCGTGACAGACACCGGAAACGGGAGAAGCCCTACTGCCTGGGTGTGTTGGCAATGCACGTATTTTTCAGCTCCTGACACTGTGCCTCTTTCAGATGAGTCTATGCTTGCTTGGATGCTCTTCATCAGTGGGACCAGCTCCCAGGAGCCGCTTTGATCTTTGATTCCTGCCCTTCCCTCCTGATATTTGTTGGATGCAGTGTGTTGGCATTATCCTAGGGCAGCGGTTCTCAACCTGTGGGTCGAGACCCCTTTGGGGGTCAAACGACCCTTTCACAGGGGTTGCCTAAGACCATCGGAAAACACATATATAATTACATATTGTTTTTGTGATTAATTACTATGCTTTAATTATGTTCAATTTGTAACAATGAAATTGGGGGTCACCACAACATGAGGAACTGTATTAAAGGGTCGCGGCATTAAGAAGGTTGAGAACCACTGTCCTAGGGGATCACTGCCCTTCACCTCGATTATTGAGATGAACAATGGCCACAGAATTCTTCAGGGAGTTGGTGCCAGTCAGGTCTTCATGGGCAGTGAGGTATATGAGCAAGAAAAGGGGAACATTAGCAAATGTAAATTAGGAGAATATAAAACAGAACATTAAGTGGGAAGAAATGTAAAAACAGAAATCAGAGTAAGCATTCTCTCAGGAGAGAAGTAGGAGGAGAGGCTGGGAAAGAGGGCGTCCATGTTGCAGACAGGTTGGAAGTCAGAGAGAGCTGAAGCCAGCCACCAGCCAGCCATGGGGGCTGCAGCTGAGCAAATTCAGCGCTGCCATTGCCACGGGCGTGGTCCCACCCCCAGCCTGCACTCTGAATTTCTGAGGCAGGTTTATTGTCCCCTGAAGCCATGTTTCAAAGTGTGGTCAGTCCTGGCTAACCTCTCAGAAACATCTAAGGTCCTCTCTTTAAAAAAAAAAAAAAGTGTCTCGCCTCCCCTCCAGACTCTGAGGGTGGGACTGGAAATCTGCATATATGCAAATGCCTCTAGTGACTCCCATGCACAGTCAAGTTTGAGCATCAGCTTGAGGATGAACCTAGGAGACTGGCGCATGACCCAAGTGGAAAATAAAGGAGCTGCAATGAGCAGGGGCTCTAGAGAGAACCATTCAAAAGAAGTTCTAGATCAGGGGTCCTCAAACTTTTTAAACAGGGGGCCAGTTCACTGTCCCTCAGACTGTTGGAGGGCCGGACTATAGTTTTAAAAAAAACTATGAACAAATTCCTATGCACACTGCACATATCTTATTTTGAAGTAAAAAAAACAAAACGGGAACAAATACAATATTTGTATTTGCATGTGGCCCACGGGCCGTAGTTTGAGGACCCCTGTTCTAGATATTAGGTCTCCTGGCTTCTCCCCAGGGCCCCATGCTGACAAGGAATAGGATTGAGGCCACCAAGTGAATGGAGTGGGGACCCAAGGCCCCTCCTACAGAAAGCATGGGATGCCACTCTGGACCCCTAAGGTCCCAGGCACAAGGGCTCATATTTGTGGTATGGTACCCTGTTCTTTTCATTTGGGGGTCAGCAAAGCCAGCTTGCTGCTGAGTTCCATCCATTTCTATCTCTCAACCTCCTCTGGACATAGAGGCAGCTCCACCCTTAGGTGTAGGGCAGGGGCACGCGGAGGGCGTGGTCAGCCTGAGGAACTGCAGGGGAGGATCCAGCTATGTGACATCATCTACAGAGGACATAGCCCGTACCGCCAAGGGAAAAGATGACCACACTCCCTTCGGCACACACAGGGCCTGCCAGAGGCGGGCCCATGGCAGCTTTTCTGGGGAGTAGTTGTTGGAATCCGGAAGCGAGGACTGGGCTGAGTCAGCTGCCACATGTGCACAGTCTCCCACTCACTGCCACCCAGGTCTTCAGTGAATGAGAGAAAACAGACTTGGGCTCCCTCTCTTCTTCCTGGTGGGAAACCGTTTTGTTTCTACCTCACTCAGTAGGGGAGCAAGTCTGTGATGTGCTCAGTTCATGGGGACCCTTACTGGTTACTTGTTTGAGGGTCTCACGGCTCATTTCCACAGCTCACGAGGAGTCTGTTTGGGTCACTGATGAGGCTGAAATTTCCTGGGGAGAACTCTCTCCGTTAGGCCCATTATGACTGTTTTCTTTGATCAGAAGTGGCTTTTCCCAGGTACCATCACGTCTCTTAACTGGGAAGGAGTCCTTCCTAAGTGACCTTGGGTCACCACATGCTACTTGGAATGATAGCCAGACATAAAGAAAACATAAAACCCATGGCACACTGGGTCCTGGCAGAAAACCATTCCTATAATGCTCACTTTTGCAGAAAACTGTTTCTATAATGCTCACTTTTCAGTGTGTTGCCATTGGGGAGCTTGTTTTCTCACCTAAGGAGCCTTATGAAGTGTGTAGGGCAGTCTTCATTATCATGGGTTACAGGTGACAACTGTGAAGGCTGGCGATGCCTGCACCAACCACCTGACTTGGTAATGGCAGAGCCACAACCAGGAAGCCCATCAGTGATCTGTTGTAACCATGGTGACACGGCCTGATGTCTTCCTGTCACTCAGGTTTCTAGCTTCCTGCTCTATTCCAGGCTTCTCTGCTAGAGTCTGACAAAGTGTGCTTTGCAGACATAAATATGTCACTTGTGTTGGAAGTCAATTCTTGGAAACTAAGTGTTGTCTGCATTTTGGCCCAAACCTAGATATCGACGAGTGTGCCACCAGCAACGAGACTCTGTGTGCACACATCTGTGTCAACACCTTGGGCAGCTACCGCTGTGAATGCCGGGAGGGCTACATCCAGGAGGACGACGGGAGGACATGCATCAAGGGAGACAAATACCCCAATGACACTGGTGAGTGGGGCAAGTATGGTGGGTGGGTGGATGGCTGGCTGGCTGGCTGGCTGGCTGGATGGACAGGCACTAGGAAGGGGCATTTATATGAATGGTAGGTGTGACTGTGTAAGAGGACATCAGGTCAAGTCTCTTCCAATGAGACCTGGTGAGAGCGATGTCCGTGAGCAGCGAGGTTGTGAACTGGTGTGTGTTTGAGGAAGCTCTCCACCAAGCAGAGGTGGTGTGCTTGTGGATAAATCAGTAGAGCTTAGTTACATGCTTAGACCAAACTAGGACGAGCAAAGAAGAGACCAGAAACACTACGTTCTCTCAAAAGACAATGGGCTGAATATAAATATGAAACATGTCCATGTAAGTAAGCTATCTACATCAGTGCGGCTCAAAGTACATAGTCCACAGCCCTGTGCCTGCCGACAAGCTATTTGTGATTTGGTTTAGGACTGGGTAGAAACAGAAGTTGAGAATGTTTAGAAGATTTTATTCCGATTTGACAGAGAAATTTTGTTTAGATCCAAAGATTTCTGCTGGTATTTTATGCTTTATTTTTCTAGCAATTTGTTTTAATTGTATTTTGCAAATACAATCACAGTGGAGTGGAAATTTTTAAAAGCTGGCCCTTCTTCGCTGCGTTTGAGAAGCTGATTGAACTGAGATGTCTGATCCCTAAGGATATGATTAGCTCGCATATTGAGTTACTTCCTTATTTAAGTTTGGAGGGAAAGGGAGGGAGGGGGTAGGGGAGGCAGGAAGGAAAGAAAGGGGGTAGGGGGGAGGGAAGGGAAGGAAAAGAAGGAGGCTTTGTGGTCCTTATCCAAGGCTCACAAGGCCAGGAAGTTGTCATCTTCCAGAACCCAGGACTCAGATCCTCTCTGTTATCCTGGGGAGGGAAAGGGGCCTGGATGCTGGCTGTGGGGTGGCGAGGCTGCCTGGGTCTGGGCCATCTGTGGGTGGGGAGGGAGCGAGTCCCAGGTACCAAGAAATGCAGGGAAATGAAAGGCCAGAACTGTCTGGGTACTCAGGAGCTAGTTAGCGATTTTGGGGGTGTAGTCTGAGGTTCACAAAGGGGCGGAAGGCAGTTGCCATCGGCTCATCACAGCAAACAGCTGGGGACCAGCTGCCTCCCACGGGAAAAACTACAAAGCACAATTATGAGGTTGAGTCATGAGGAAGCCACCATATATTAGAAGTAGAGGCAAAATATCTGTTTGGAGCCAGCTCAGAATTGGGCAATTTGGGATAATGTGAGTGAATCAGAGGCCCTGTGAAATCTACTGAAAGCCGGAAGCTCAAGGGACCCACATGCCCAGAGGTGCTTAAAGCGGGGTCCGTTGGGGAAAAAAAAATGTGTGTAGGTGGCTTTTCTTAGAATTCAAATGTAAAATCCCTTCATTTTTGTTTCTTGGTGGAGAGGGTGGGGGAGGGGTGGGACGTGTAACTTACCTCTTAGATTATGTCCTATATTGAAAGGAAGAATCTCACTGAAAAAATGAGGGGCAGCCTCTTAGTCACTGATACATTGATGTGTGGGTCGACTTAAGAATTAGCAGCAGGAGAGCAGCGTTCCCATTTTTCATTCTGGAATTGGATTTCCAGCTGCGCTCTGAGCCAGGCAGCCCGAGGCTGTGGGCCACTCAGCCTGCCAACTCCATTATCTCTTTGCCTCACGTTTCTATTCCGGTGAAATCCCATTTACGTGGGCATGAGGGGCAGTGTTGAGCACCCCAGTCTAGAGCACAACCTTCAGAAACAGCAACCAATGCTTACTGCCGAGTGTCAGGGTGGCCTTTGATGGTAGGGATCTGGTAAGACCGGCCCCGCCCCACCAGCAGTTCCCACCTGGTGGGACAAAGTGACCTGCCCAGAGACTTGGTCTTAACCAGCAGAGACTAGAGAAGCAGAGACTAGTGTGAGATGTTCAATTCACTGGATTTACTGGTTCTTTGGTCTCAGTGGCCTCCACCTCTTGCAATGATTCTTAGGTTCTACAACGACATCCCTCTTCAGTCTCATACATTGCACTGCTGTGTGGTTCCCTAGGGATGGCTCTGAGCAGGGCAAGGTGGCCTTGGTGGCAGTCACTGCCTGCCTTGTGCTTTGCAGTGTGCACCCAGGAGGGGCCTAGCCACAGGGCAGGGGTACAGGAAGGTCTCACTGCATCTTTGAAATTAGCAGCCTGCCGAGCCGGCGCGTGGCTCTGTGGAGCATCGACCTATGAACCAGGAGGTCATGGTTCAGTTCCCAGTCAGGGTATAAGCCTGGGTTGCGGGCTCGATCTCCAGTTGGGGGTGTGCAGGAGGCAGCTGATCAATGATTCTCTCTCATCATTGATGTTTCTATCTCTCTTTCCCTCTCCCTTCCTCTCTGAAATCAATACAAAAATATTTTTTTTAAAGATGAAATTAGCAGCTGGTGGTGCTCAGTCAGACCTGAGACCCCGCTCTTGTTTCTGTCCCTGAGAAACAATTTCTCAAACACACAAAAAGTTTCAGTGCAAGAGATCAAGAATTTTATTTAAGAGATGACCGTTTGACTTCTGCAGCTGAGAATTCAGTAAAAACCTAAGCAGTCATAATTAAAAGGAATATGTATTTGCAGCTTTTGGGGTACTTTCTCTAGTATTACTTTCATGTAAAGGCATATGTGACCTCCACCATTTATTACAGCATTTCCTCACAATGTGTTCTATACAACTTTGGGGTCGTATGGGTATTGCTGAGCCTTTCTTCCTTACGAACCTTCTGTGTTCAGAGGTTTGGGGAAGAATGTGTTACTGCACCCACTTCTTAAGGATTCATGATGCGAGTGCATTCAAAGCTCTGAAGATGGCCATTTTCTACCAAAAAAAATGTTAATTTCAATTAAACCTGAATTCCCCAAAATTAGTTTCTTAAGGAATACCTTCTAACATCTCCCAGATGGTGGTGTCCTAGAAATTAGAGTTTGTAAAATTCTAACTTACTAGCATCAAAACTCTGAGCTCTGGGGCTCAACTTGGTAGGTCATCTGGTCGACTTTCAGGGAAGGATGTTTTTGGACGCAGCCACGAAGTCCAGAGGGAAGCCATTCGCTGCAGACAGCAGAGCATCTGATGAACAAAACAGGACAATACTCCTCCATTCTGCCATTCCGAGAGACAGGATGTTCCTGTTTACAGGGGCTGGGAGGGGGTGCCCTTCTGTTTAATCAGAAAGAACTGTCTGGTGGCTCTACCGCTGCGCTTCATTGTAATGAGCTCCTCACTGCCGATTCTCTCCCTCCTCCTCCTCTACACATAGCAGCCTCAAATGACTTTTTAAAAACCTGAAAGGTCACCACTGTCAGTTGTATCATATTCCCCCCACCGCCAGCAGCAGCATTATAAAAGAATTTCTCGGTATTTCATGTTCAGTAACTGGTCTCTATTGAATTCACCACACACGCACAGAGGGCTTAGCATTTGGTTTTAGTATTTTACTAAGAAAAACATTCCAACACCCGTAACCAAGGAAATCAGGGAGTCACAGCCTGAGAGGAGTAATTCATACACAAAATTATGAGAAAGGACAGGCACATTGCTTGCCCTGAATGTTAAAGTCATAACTCACATGATGGGCCACCGAGAAAGTGAGGGGCTGGCTTTGGTGGTTCTGGCAGCAAAAGGCAAGTGCCCTGGATGCATTTCTTTGACAGTGGTGACGCCCGAAAGTTCCTTGGTGTAGAAGTTAGGAGAGCTGGTAGCTGGAGCTGCATTGGGATTAACCAGCTGTTGTGGGCCGGTCGCCAGGCCTCAGCTTCCTCCTCTGTAGACAAGAGGGTTGGATAAGGAGAGCTCTGAAGACCCTTTTGCCCTTTGCAAATATTTTTTTCCAATGTGGTGTGAAGAGCTTCAGTAAAAGTAATACAAGCCCTCCCAGCCCTGGGAGTCCCTGTGCGGTCACGTCTTTGTCTTTCATCTAAGCGAGTGCCAAGACTCTAAGACATGCCCAGCTTCACTACCAAAACAGAGAACTTACTATATCTCAACAGATGAAGTATCAACATCCAGCTATTCAGCTCAGCACTAAGAAAAGTTAGGGGCCAGACAAACCTTGTATCTGGAACATCAGAGGCAGTTAAGTGGTTTCATCTGTTTTGGACTAATTAATAAGTCCCATATTTCATCACGGTCAATTTTTTTTGGATGAGGAGGTAATGATTATTAAGTATAAACACATGATGTAAAAACTCCTTTCCTCCTCCTGTGTTTTTTTTTTAAACTTTGCATTGTCCAATGTCTGTAATATTACAGTCAGAGGAATTTAAAATCAAGGACGGCCTCAGCTGTTTATCCAGAGAGCAGGCGGAGAGCAGAAGGGGCTGGCCCTGGAACTGTGTCTCATAATCCAAAGGCCGCTGCGCACACACAGGCACGGTATCTCGGCTGGCTAATAGGCAAGAATGGCTCGCTCAGTCACTTTGATTCTCTTTGAAAATATGTAGCTGGAGCCAGCTTAGTCACTCCAGGGAGTCTGTGTAGCCCCCCTGAGGAGAAGAATTAAGGGCAGGTCGGCTCCATAGTAATTAGCTATTTATCAACTTTTGTTTACTTTCTGATAAAGTGACCGTGACCCCCAGTGCCACTTAGTACAGTTCAGAGTGTCAGGGATGGCCAGGTGTTTCATATAACTTTCAAGCTCCGCTAATCCATAGATCAGTGGTTCTCCACCTGGGGGGCTTGAAAAAATGCTGATACTGTCCCGTGCTGTGACTCCCAGATGGGAGGGGTACAACTTAGTGGAATTTTTAAAAGCCCCCCAAGCAGTTGCAATGTGCTACCAGGGTTGAGAACTGCTGCCAGGGCACAAATCTGCACCATCAACTTTTAAAAACAAACATGCTTTGTTCGTTTGTGACACTGCTGGTATGAAGTGTGTTGGGAACATTCTTTAGTTCTTCTAAGTTTATTAAATATTACTAATATGGTATGTAAGGAATTCTATTTCTAGTGCTTAGGATGTATGTATACACTGCTCAGTATCAGTAAAAATTAGAGCTATCTGCCCCCATGTGGCTAATTGATAATATTGCACCTTTATCTGAGCAGGTTGGAGCAATATGTTGTGACTAGGGGCCCAGTGCATGAATTCGTGCACCTTGAAAGGAACTGTGGGCTGCAAGGCTGCAGTAGGCACAGGAATGGGTCTCGACCCATTCTCTGCGCTCCTGCCCGCCGGGGCCCCGGTCCCCTGTCTGCCGGCAGCCCCACTCCTGCCATCACCACTCCTACTCGCTGAGGGTGCCGGCCCTGCTCACACCTGCTGATGGCGCGGAGCGATTGGGGCTGGCACCAGCAGCAGGTGCAAGTGGGGCTGGCGCTGTCAGTGGGTTCAAGCAGCAGCTGCTGCCCCAATCACCCCTCAGGAGCAGGAGGAGGTGGAGAAGCCCTCAGGGGCGATCAGGGCCATCAGCTACTGCTCACACCTCCTGATGGCACCAAGTGATCGGGACGAGCACTGGGCATTGGCAGCGGGTTCGAGCGGTGGCTCCGGCACTGGCTGCGGGTGCGAGCACCAGGCAGGACCACAGCGCGAGGGGAGCAAAGAATTTTTAGTAAACACCAGAGCCTTGCCTCAATGACAACGACTGGCACCCCACCTTGGTCTGGCGCCCCTGCTCACCTGCTCCACCATCCTGCTGTGGCCAATGCCCACCATGTTCCACACACACCCTCTGCTGGTCAGCGCATGTCATAGCGACCGGTTGTTCAGGCCCACCATGTTCCGCACACACCCCCTGCTGGTCAGCGCATGTCATAGCGACCGGTTGTTCAGTTGTTCTGGTTGTTCCACCATTTGGTCTATTTACATATTAGCCTTTATTATATAGGATACTTCACTGAACATGGTCATAGTCACAGTCAGAGACACTCAGTGGCTACATTGAGAGGATTGAAAACAAAGTCCCAGATTTCTATATGAATTATTAATGTAGCACACACAGGATTATTTTAACACATTTGACAGCACTGTAGACAAATTGCAGGAGAGATGAGCCCCAATTCAGAAGAGATGGTGTGCTCTGATCTACACACAGTTATTTATCTTTAAATCCTCTGAGAGCTCTTGCCAAAGGAAAGACATCTGTAATTTTGTAGGTAACATAATTTTTAAAAAGATACCAGCATCAACAATCATATCAGCATTTATGGAGCATTTGTCATGTACTAGGCACTGTTCTGGGAACTTACAGGTGTTGTTAATGCCTCACAGCAATCCCAGGTGTTAAGTGTCATTGTCACTTATCACGTTTCAAAGAATGGATGCTCACAGAGGCTGTGACTTCCAACCCAAAAGGTACGAAGCGGCAACATCAGGATTCAGTCCTGATCATCAGACTCCACCAGAGCCTACACCCCTGGCTACTACTAGTATGTTTCTCTTTCTGTGGAAGCTTCACAAGACTTTGGAGCAAAGTTTATCTTTTGTGTGTGTGTGTGTGACAAAGTTTCATTATAAGGCAGTCATATACATAATTTAGAATATGTAAATTTTTTAATGATTATTGTAAAGAAACATAAAATGAAAAATTTCTTATAGGGAACCCCCAGAGCTCTGAGATTTTGTCCATGAATCCTGAGGAATCCATTTAAAAAGAGTTTGTAGTCAATATTTCCTAATGCATTTGACTTTAAAACCTCGGAGCAAAGTTCATCTTGATCTCTATTCTGATCATTTCACAAAGGGACAGCAGATAGACTGAGCACTTCTAGGTCAGAAGTCACTCAGCAGGGCTGTTCTCTGGGACAGTGAATGTGGGTCGTTTGGAGGGCTTTGGTAGACGTGCTCTAGGCCCACTCCCAGGATTTCGGATTTCAGAGAACAGGTCCCTGCGTGATTGTGGTGCTGGTGCTGCTGCTGGTCTGTTGATCACACGTGGGAACTACTGCCCTGGAGCCAGCCTGGCAGATGGCTCTCAGGTGTTCCGAACAGAACCCCCTGTAGCAGGCTCTCTGCACCCCCACGGTGCTCAGTTGCTGCCCATGGCGCTCTGGGAGACCTTATCTGTAAAGGAGACTGAACTAAAGATACATTAGTCCTAACACCCCATGATATAAATGAAATAGTCTAGAACCCGGTAAAGAGGTTTACTCTTATAAAAATATCAAATTACCTTAATCATTACCACCCCTTGGTGAGTTCAACTTTCTATAAAAGTAGAAATAAAAAGACGGGCTTTTAACCCTTGTTCGTGATGGCCTGAGAGTTAGGGTTTCAACATATGAATTTGGGAGGCGGGGACAATTCAACATCTAACATCCTATTTCACAGACATTTTTCGAGCATCCACTATGTGGCTACCAAGAAGCGACTCCGGTTCTTAGGTGGCTCCCACTCTGCACCAGTATCCCCTCTGCCGGGAAGCCTGGAGCACCCGCCACTTGAGTGGGACAGGTGGTCAACACCGCTGACCTCAGAGGCCTGAAGGGTCTCTGTAGACAGAGAGGTGGGCTTCGTGGACACTCGAGCTGGGTCTTGCTAGTTGGTAGAATTCACTAGTGGAGGCAGCCAAGAGGCCTTCCCAGAAGAGAATAGTAAGAAGAAAAGCACGTGGGCCAAGAGGCACAGGAAATGACTTGGGGGAGATGTTGCTCTACTGTCCCTGAGTTACATTCCAGGTAGCAGTATTATCTGTCACAAACAGCACACCTGGCCCCACACCAAAGGCCTCCTAAGCTAGGAGGAGGGTTTCCACTTACCTGGAGTCACACTGCCCTATCAGCCCCAAGAAAACATTCGTACACCCCACTCTTTTTTAAAAAATATATTTTATTGATTTTTTACAGAGAGGAAGGGATAGAGATAGAGAGTTAGAAACATCAATGAGAGAGAAACATCGATCAGCTGCCTCCTGCACACCTCCTACTGGGGATGTGCCCGCAACCAAGGTACATGCCCTTGACCGGAATCAAACCTGGGACCCCTCAGTCCGCAGGCCGACGCTCTATCCACTGAGCCAAACCAGTTACGGCGATACACCCCACTCTTGATCCACACCGCGGCCGCCTCTGCACAGCCCTTGGTGGTGGTCACCTCCTCATCAGTAGCAAGGTTGCCTCCAGTGTCTAGTCTCCAGCACACAGGTGTCTGTAGGCATTTCAGTGCCAGTAGGATGAGAGCTGGGTAAATTCTTGGCCATGGCACCATTTGACCCACTCTTTCTTTAGTGAAATATGATTTTACAAAAAGCCCTTGGTGTTCCCAGTGCTCTACAAGATGTCACTGGGATCCTTCCCAGTGGACGGCCGGGGTGCCTTCTCAGGGCCTGTTCCACTTGCCCCCAGGTGGGCATGTCCAGAGTGTCTGGCACGTTTTCCATCCCAGCTTCACATCTCCATGGAGCTCAGTGCCCAGCCCTGATCTGTGACCCCGCCTGGTCTGGCTGTGCTGCCTTTGATCGGCTGGATGACAGAGGTGATAAGGACCAGCTTTGTGAGCCCTGCGCCTGCCCGAGGCCCACTGCCTGAGCTTGGGGATAATTTACAGGGTGTGAACATTGGCCTTTGGAAGGGAGTATAAATCATGTTGCATTGATGCAGCCTGCCTCCCGGAAAGTCCTGATAAAGGGGCGAGGGTTCACATTTCCCCACATGAAAGAGAAAGAGGCTGGATGCCTAAATGGGAACAGCTGAGCCCAAAACATAGAAGGGTCCCTCTTGCTCTCTCCACCACCTGGGCGTACTGTCAGTGCTCCCCTGAAAACCATAAAATCCTCGCACGTTCCATTGTCAGCCAGTCTGCCCAGGTCTGCCTTCCATGATGCTGTCTGTGGGGCTGGATGTCCTCCGGCCTCCCAGATGGACCAGAGCCCGTCTCCTCTCTCAGGGCACGATGAGAAGGCTGAGAACGCGGTGAGAGCTGGAACCTGCTGTGCTTCATGCAAGGAGTTTCACCAGATGAAGCAGACGGTGCTGCAGCTGAAGCAAAAGGTACATGCCCTGCGTGTTAGACACAATCACAAAACAGGAGCACTCGGCAGAGATAAGGTGGATGAATGCTTAGAAACAGGAAGGAAATAAATCCACAAACTCGTTGAGCATTCCCTGGGGTTGGTGCCAACTAGGGTTAGGCTTGAATGCTTTGCCTACCACCCTCAGAGCTGACCGTCTGAAGGGCAGCAGAACACAACGAAGGCAGGGCATGGACTAAGTGACTAATAGGCCCCCAGGTCAGGGGCACGTGGTGGAGCTGTGGAGGATGAACTATGACGAATGAGACTTTTTTGTGAAAGGATCATCCAGACACATGGCCCTGGGGCCAACATAGGCGATTCCATCTTTATCTGATATTTTGCCTATATTCTATCAATAGGGAACATCCTCTCTGTACACTTCCATAAGCTGGTGATGATTTTCTGTGGCAGCTTTATTTTTCACTTTTAAAAATTATAGCCTGTGCTTTGTCTGGGTTCCATGCACCTTGGAAAGCAGCCGTTTGGGTACCCTTGTCACCAAGGGTGAGGACTGACTCTCCCTAAAAGTCTCCCACGCATGCCTGGCAGAACATCCGGGTTCTAATAATGGCGGTGTGCTGTGGGTAATGCCCTGGGATGGACCTGGTGACCTGGTTTCTTGAACAAGCGTCCTCCCCCACATCGATGGTATTCATTACACCTACAGTCAGTCACTTCACCTGTTTGTCAGCAGCTCAGAAATTGCACTTATGCTGATAAAACACAAACTCTGGGTTTAGAAGGAGGATCTCTATATCCCCTCTGAGCTCTAACTGGCTCAGATAAAGGGAAATTATCAATAGTGCAAAGAATCTCCTGGCAGTAGAGCCATCGTTTCCTGACTGAGGTTTCTCCTCTCTCTGCAGATCGCCCTGCTCCCCAACAGTGCTGTTGACCTGGGCAAGTACAACACTGGTGACAAGGTGCTGGCCTCGAACGCCTACCTTCCAGGGCCTCCTGGCCTGCCTGGGGGTCAGGGCCCTCCTGGTGAGTGTGGACAAGGGCATCGAAGGGCAAGAGTCACCAGCCAAGGGCTCACGTTTAGTGGGGGCTGGACAGAGTTCTCTAGCTTCCATGGATGAGAGCAGAAGCAGGAGTCCAGGGAGCACCCACTGCTGTGTGACCAGAGGGCCTAGGGAAGTTAGTCCTCAAGCCCGAGAAACCCTCATAACAAACAGTATTTTGGGAGAAAAAGGTCATTGTCCTGGGCTTGGATAAGATTCTTAGAGATCATTTTAAATTACAGAGAAACAAAATGAAAACTATCTTTTGACATTGATCTATATAAAAATAGATTGGTGTAGTGAACTCCTACGGGCTCATTGCCCAGCTCTGCAGACTCAGGGCCAGCCTGGTGTCCACTATTCCCTAGGTCTCTCAGATGCTGAACCCTGTACTCTTGACCACTCTCCAGGTGTGGTAACCGCCACCCTGCTATGATTGATGGGATTCAGAGGAACCAGCAGTTCTAAGAGATGTGAAAGAGGTAAAATGTAGAGGAACTGGTCACAGATTGGATGAGGGGATTATGGAAACAAGGAAATCTATAGGAAGACTCTCAAGATTCTGGCTTGAGTGGACAGGTGACTGGTGGTTCATGACAAGAGAGGGAGAGGAGGAAGTCCATTTAGACTGGGTTAAATTTAAAATGCCAGTGGGACATCCTAGAGGAGGTGTCAGAAGGCACAGGGCAGAGTGCACAGAGAAATGGCTACAAGGGCTCACAGACTTGTGAGCCAGCGCCCTGGCCTTCCTCGCAGGATGCAGAGCTAATGAGCTGTTCTTTGATTGCAGGCTCACCAGGACCAAAGGGCAGCCCAGGCTTCCCGGGTATGCCGGGCCCTCCTGGGCAGCCGGGCCCACGGGGCTCAATGGGACCCATGGGACCATCTCCTGATCTGTCCCACATTAAGCAAGGCCGGAGGGGCCCTGTGGTCAGTATTTTCTCAGAGATCCACTTACTGTTGTTGAGGAAATCGTGTTCTTGTTCCTTGCTTTTTCCTTCTGTTAAACAAGATCCCTTTGTCTTGTAGGGCCCACCAGGTGCACCAGGAAGAGATGGCTCTAAGGTAAGTCTCATGAGTGGTCCTTAACAGCCTAAGGTTTCCCAAGTTCAATAAAGCTCAAGCACTGCTTACTGTCCCCATTTTGCGTGACAAAATTGAGACACAGATACACTTTTCCCCCCAAAGCTGGGAAGAAAATCTAAAAAGCAATTTCCTTAAAATAGGAAATAACCATAATAACAAAACAACCACCAAAACCACTCCTAAGAGAGATTACTCCTATGAATTTTTTAAAATATTTATTAAATTGATTGGGGTGACATTGGTCAACCTGAACCTATAGGTTTCAGGTGTGGGTTTCTATGTTACAAGATTTGTATGTTGCACTGTGTGCCCACCACCCAAAGTCAAATCTTCTCCTGTCACCTTATATTAGGGCCCCCTTCCCCCGACCCTCTCCTATGAATCTTAAACAAGCCCATGTTGTCAGAGTAGCACATGCTTTTCTCTTTAGCCAGTGTTCTTCTGTAGGGCTATTTTGTGTATGATATGTTTAAGTCAACAGCAAAAGGTCCCTTCTGTGCAAGTGGGGGTGGTTTCACTTTGAGAACTGCCTGCTACTTGCCTCAAACAGTCAGTGTGAGTTCCTTTAGAAAGCTCCTAACTTATCCCACACCCTGCCTGGAAATGCAAGCATTCCTCTTGTCAGATCTGGTTTTAAAATATATGACCTCGGGGAAAATATGAATGAGAGACACTTGACCCAAGCAGTCTGTTCAAATAAGTGGTCCCATGAGTCCAGCTTAAGCTTACATTTGTTTCCAATGGAAAATTGTTGTTGTTTTGGGCAGGGAGATGGTCATGGCGGGTGTCTACATAGAGACTGTGGTGGTAGCCTCCACATGGTCCAAGAAGCTAACCCTGACCTTTCTCTGCTTTTAGGGGGAGAGAGGAGCTCCTGGACCCCGAGGGTCTCCGGTAAGTAGCACCATCTGCCTCGCTTCCCCAAATGTTCTCGGGAATGCAGCTCTGAGAAGTCTGTAAGTTGGTCTTAATAGCAAAAGCTGGCTTCCTCTAGCTGTCACTCAGCCCGCCCAAACAGAACGAGGTGGTTAGGAGGGAAATCATGGAGGCCTTCAGCAGCTGCTTGGAATTTATTTTGAAATTTTGTTTTCTATTTCTTTTTCTCTTTATCATGGCTAATCTTTATTTGGAATGTCTTAAGATTCAAAACCTCAGTATGCCATGAGTCTGTTTTCAAGTATGTCATAAAACATCTGAAGGAGACTAGAAGAGAAACCTAAGGGCTAAGTCCTAACGCTGAACGCTTCAGAATTTAGCCACCACTATAGCCCTAGGAGGTCAGGTGACCATCCCCTCCAGAGAGTACAGAGACATGCAGGGGGGTTGGGACCACTGAGAAGAAACTAGCTGGATAAATGCATAGTATCTGCGAGATTAAAAATGAAAATCAGTACTATCCAATCTCTTATCCAAAGCACAGAAAATTCAAGTAACTCCGTTGCTTTTGAAGAGGTCAGTGTCATTTCTGAAAAAAGTCAAAGACCTTTAGTGTTAGAGGTAGGAGGTCTGGATTCCATCCCAGCTTTTCCATCTAGTAGCTCTCTGATCATGGCCATGTCACTTAGCATCCCTGGGCATCCATCCCCTCACCTGTGCAATGCCAAGTGGAATCTGATCTGGCACCCTTCTGCCAGCATCCAATGATGTCAAAATACTACACATCTTAAGTATTTGCATGTGTGAGCTGCTGTTTCTAGCATAGCTCGGAGGTTCTCTCCACTTCCTTTAGGTTGTAGTTACAGTCAGGCATCCTTATAAACACTAATAATTTTGTTTTAAAAGATAACATTTTCTTTTAGCATTTACTATGGTCTCAGCCCTTTACATTTATTAACTCATTTATAGACGCACTTGGAAGCCTATGAAACCCAATGAAGTTGAGTCTATTATCTCCTTTTTATGGATGGGGAGATGGAAACCCAAAGAAATTAAGTAACTTGCCCGAGACCAGCTAGTAAGTGGCAGAGGTGAGATCCAAACCCAACAGAGCCCCAATCTCTTAACCCCTGCTCTGCCTCTATAGTATCGTCCAGGTTTCTTTGGAAAATCACATGGGACAGGTTATTCTCCTATTCTTTCATTCTGCCAGATGTGATATAGCCTAGAATTGGGAGGGAAGAGAGGTTATACAGGTGGTAAGGGAATCAGAAGGCAATTTGAAGAATCCCTCAGGCTATGCTAATAGTCCGTATGTCTTCTCCATTTGGGACACGGAATTATTGACTCAGTAGTTGCCAGCACACAGCAGGAATAGCAAACTATGGAGCCCTGCAAACCTTCACTTTGCAAGGGGCTGAGTCTGTGGTTCTGGCTTTGATTCCTCTCTTGCTCAGGGGCCGCCTGGTTCTTTCGACTTCCTTCTGCTGATCCTGGCTGACATCCGCAACGACATCGCCGAACTGCAGGAGAAGGTATTCCGGCACCAGACTCACTCTTCCCACTCTTCAGCAGAGGAGTTTTTACCTCAGGAATTTGCCAGCCATCCGGAGACCATGGACTTGGGCTCTGGAGACGACTACTCGAAGGGGACTGAGACAAGAGACGTGGGGACCCCCAGGGACTTTTATCCTTAGCACATGCCAGCAGCTTCATGCCAGAGGAAGAGAAGTTTTCACACCTGCAGTTAAATCATCTAAAGAGAAGACAAGAAAACAAAACCCACCACTGGAGACCTAGACAAGATACATTTTAATGATCTTTGCTCTTTTCCTGCCTTCTCCCTACTTTTTTTCTCCCAAATACTATTTTCATAGGCCCCTACTAGAGGTACTGGTTATATGAGGGAGTAAATGATTGGTTTATATACCTCCCTCTGAGAGCAGTTGACATTGGAACTGCTCTTTTATTTATTTATATTTTTTGGAACTTTTGGGTTTCTGAGTTAAATATTCTCACAGTATCTTAAATTTGACAGAATAAAAGGGAAAAGTGGCAAGGTGACCTCCAAGAAATGTTAGGTTACTTATTTAAAAAATTAGACATGTGTCCAAAGGAGACTATTACTCCTCAATATCAAAATAAGGCTCTTCAATGAAAAGGTCAAGACAACAGTGTATATTTACTTTGGTGGATAATTCTTTGTCCTTGTTGATCTAATAGATATTCAATATTCTAGCCTCTTGTCCAACCTCACTTCCCAAATTCAATTAAAGATAGGAGAGAGTGAAGAAAGAACAGTTAGGGAAGATGGAGAAAATTAGTCATAATATTTACTGCTATATAGGTTGCTACATTCTAAATTCAAATACAACTATTAAATGTTCATGCCATGCTTGTCTATAAGTATCCTCCTCAGAAAAGGAAGTTACCTAGATGTAGGACTAAGTCCTCTTTTCAAAAAAGAGAAGTAAATAAAGCGCCCTGATTCACATTAGGACAATGGGTTCCTGTTTTGCCAGGACATTTTAGAGCTGTTTGATCAAACGAGTGGGCCTGTTCAGTAAATCACAGATTATTGGTTGAACAAAGGTGGATGACCCTTAGAGAGAGTTGCAGAAATTCCCAGGCTCTGACTGGGTGCCCATTGAAAAAACAGAGGTGCCATTAGGCTATGATTCAGGTTGGGTCGATGCACAATGGGACTCAGGGCTAGAAGGAGGTAGCTGGCTCAGGTTGTTGACTAGGGAGAAGGGGAACCTCGGGCAGGGACCCCACTAACCACAGAGACAAGTATTTTGCTCTCCTCGGGGATTAGAAGTCCTCATCTGGGGCCAGCCAAGCTTGCCAGTATAGAGAATTATATACTATTGAAAGTTCTAGATGTGGAAGGGGAAAAAAAACAAACAGTGTGGCAGAAATTTCCTTCCCACTAGTCCCTTTTTTTCTTAATTGTCCATAATTTAGTTCAAGTTCCAGATGTTGCAGGCCTTTCCGTTCCCAGCCAATGCTGAAGGCCTTGGGAAAGGGGTATATTCCCCCCTCCATTCCGTCAGTGTTTGCTTGTACACCTCTGGGCCCCATGGGAAGCAGGCTCTGGAGCAGGCTTTCTCTGGATCCACAGAGGCAGGAGCAAGAGGATGTGCTCCCAAGGACCAGCAGGATTGACTTCTCCCTTGTATTGTTGGGGAACCACTTAGCTTTGAGGGCAGCGTGCAGGTTTCTTGAAGTACAAGTTCTCATTTGACACACGGACTGGCTTTTCATTCACCTGGCCAGGAGCCCTTCACCCTTACAGTGAACCTCACCAGTTATCCTGCCACAGCTCCTGTTTGCTTGTGTTGGGGTTTCCATTTCCCATCCTATATGATTTCCCCCCATATTTCTGGGAGATTCATGTTCAGTTTTCTTTTCCCATCATTTAACTCTCTTCCTGGGAAACTTGTTTCAAGAGAACCACTGTTGGTGTTTGCACGCCAACATTCCAGCTTGCTTCAGGTTGATGGACCGGGCTTCTGTTTGCGAATCTCAAGGGACAGCAGCCTTCCCTCCCATCATTAGAAACTCGGGACTCCAGTCAGTCAGCCAACGGCCGAGTTTTTCACAAACATGTCCGTGCTTCTTCCTTGTGCAAAATTCCCAAGGACTGTCCACCAGAATGTCACAGCTGAAAGCCACACATTCCCAACGCTCCTCTCCTAGCACTTCCCTTCCCTCTCCAGCCTCGCCAGCACGGGTTTACGAGGCAATGAACTGAGCAGCCGTTGCTTCGCATCTGGAATATATGTAATGTTCGCCTGCTTGTGGAGTACAGTATTTAAAGGGTGTGGGTGGATGAATGCTAAAGAAAATTGTGCACAAGCTCTATGAGAAATTATTAGGTCTGTCTTTGATGTGTTTTTAATGAGGAATTTTATTACCTTTTCTTTTAACAGTGAACTGTGTTTAGAACTATAATCTTCTTTATTGTTAAATGCTCATAAAATGCAAGCAAACTGCATGTTGGACATGCAGAAGCTAGGATAAATATATTAAAAGCATGAACTGATGATAGTAATATCTTGGATTCATGAGACTATTCTAGATAATATTCTCCAGCAAAACACACAATAACCTCTATTTTATCATCTCAGTCTGCTGGATCAGGTCAGTTTATAAAATAATTTTTCATCCTTGGATTTTCAGAAGTTGGACTAGGACCACAGGACTAAATATGCACTCTGGATGCCCAAATTATATTTTTCAAAGATAAGACATAATAAGGCACTATTATTTCTAATGTATCTTTCAGTTATGGATAGAAAACCAAAGCTTCGCTAATCTAAACAGGCCAGCTGCTCAAAACCGAATGGAAAAGCCACTTTGGGGATAAAATTTGCTACAGTTTTGCTAAACCGCTTCATGGTTCAAGGGGGAAAGGGTCTTTGTAACCTCTTCAACCCGCCAGCAGAAATGTCGACTTCCATGTTATGCACCCTGATAACTAGGACTTGTGAATAGGACCTAAATAGATTGCTTCTGTTTCGGGACAGCAATGGGAATAAAAATCTGCTATTGGAAATAGTGCAGGGAAGGCGAACATTTTAGTTTGGGAATATCTCCCTCCCTTCCTAGTTCCAGAGAAAGAAATGATAAGCTTACTATGCCAAAGGGCTTGCGGGGTACAGAGGGAATGCTGTCTTCTCTCTTCTTCCCTGTTAAATTGCAACACCTGCCACAAAATGAATTGACCAACTGAAGTCATTTCTATTGTATAAAGGCAGACAGGTGTGTCCACAGTTAAACAGGTAAATGATGAAAGCACATGGGCATTGGTGGGAGTATCACCCCACCACATACCAGGTGGAGGGCACCCTGGTTCTGGTCATGCTCCCTCTCCAGGGTTCGTAACTGCTTTGGCCTCGTGAGCCCCATTTCCAGACATGCCGGGGAAGATAATCTCCGTGCCAGACATGTCCTTGGGGTGACAGCAAACCCCTCATCATACTTTGGGTGTTACTCCCCCTCTCTCTGTCCCCCCACTCCAGCCTGTCACAGAGAGAAGCAGCCTCATTGTGCAAACTTAACATCTATCAGATAGCCTTCCTAAAAAAGACGTATATTTGCAGGAATCTGGGCCAAACAACTAGTAGAATAGAGCCATCTAAAGTTATTAATGATGAATTCAGGGAAGCTGATGGATTTTCCTTGGCACTGTCAACATGTATGTCTCAGAACAAATCAAAAAATGATTTTCCATTTGAGAAAAAAACACATGCGACCATGACATAATTATTAAAAATCTTGGGCTTTACATGCTCCTTCAACAAATACCATTAGTGCTTTAGGGAAACCATAGGAAGAAGAGCTTTCCATATCCCCCAGGGACCTCAGTGTTTTTTGTTATTTCCCCAAAGCAAGTACCCTGGGGGGGGGGGGGGTCATCCGTGTGGGGACTTTCTTTACTGCCCAGGGACTAGTCCTATTCTTCAGCAGCTATTTTGTTCATTATTTGTAAGAGGTTCACACAACAGCGGAGCTAGTATGCAAATAGTTATGGATGTGATACTATGAAGTACTTTGATAAGATTGTATATGCTTAATAACAAAGTTATTTTTCTTACGTGGTTGTACTGTGTTTTGTCCTGATACGCAGTCCTGTGCAATGTGTTCTCTCTCTACAAGATGAATACAAGGGATGGAGAGAGGGAGTTCTCTCCAGAGCTGGAACCTGCATTCTGGGTAGGCCACCTCCTGGGGTACCAGTGTGGTCCCAACATTTGAGCCTGAGTCCAGGTCTGAAGGCCTAGGTTCCACTGAATTCTGAGTCTCAGAGGCCCATATCCTCCAGCTGGGATCCTCTGGTCCTGCAGGATGGGGTCTTCAAACCAGGGACCCCCAGGGGATCACTGGAGGTGCCTAAGGCGCTCATGTATGGAGGGCCTGTGAGGGTTCCACCTCTCCCTACACCCACTGCACCCCAAGCAACTCCATTTTTAGTTGGTTTTGGATTAGAATTTCTCATTAGGTTTTCTTTGGAGGAGAAAAAATGACTGCCTAAAAAAAGGTTAAAATAGATAGAGTTGAGGGGAGGAAGCCCCATGAGTTGGTAAGTGAAGTGCCCGATGTGAGGATCAGAGGAAGGGAATTTTCATCAGCGGGGCCATACAGGAGGCAGTTATAAAGCAATAAAAGGGAAGATTACTTCTAAGGGATTTTTCCCACTCTAGAGGGTGCCTTTAGCATCCTGAAGTCATCCATCTTTACACATCTCCCTTTCCTTTCGCGAATATTTATCAAATGCTTGCTGAAAGCTGCGCACTGTGCTTTGCGCTACAGACACCATGGGGAGCGAAAAGGCCATAATCCCCACCCTCCTGGGGATTTTTGGCAAAATGGACAAGGATCCTTCCAGGCAAAATAAATCACATAAACATGCAATTACAAACTGATAAGTGCTATGACGAGCTGTAAGCGTGGCAAGAGCCAATAGCAGCTCGTGCCAGTAGGACCCGCCCTTCGCTCCCCAGTCACACATGGAGCACCCCACAGCACCCAACAGCGTCCACACCACAGCCACAGGAGACCTCGGCCCTCGCAGGGAAAAGCTGCCCCAGTCCTTGGGGCAAAGCTGCAGTCGATGGAAATCTGGGATGCCCCTTTATGTTTAATGTTTCCTGTTCTTCCTTTAAAAAGCAGCTCAACGAACCCACACTGGCTGAAACA